AGATCACAGCCATGAAAACCCTATGGAGTAGTTCTACTCTGCACACATGGAGTCGCCATGAGTCGGAATCGACCTGACAGCAGCTAACAACAACAATAATGTATCACAGGGGCCAATGCTGCATCGCAGAAAAGCACTTGGTAGTTGTGTGAAATCTCATTTGGGAAAATTGATTCAGAACAATCCCTCACTATCAATAAATCTTTTGCAAATTAGAGAATCTATTTGCAGCTTGAATTATCCCTTAATTTATCTGTTCTTAAGTTTGAATATTTGTGTACATGGGGGTCTTCTTAAAGTAGGACACTTTTGGAATTTACCCAAGCCCTGGTAAATCTAAAGTAATCAAATGTAATATTCATTCACTGAACACTCTGAAATGATACCATGCAAACCTGCTGCAAAAGACCTCTTTAAAGTGTTGAAAAGCAAAGATGTCACCTTGAAAACTAAGACGCACCTGACCCAAGCCGTGGTGTTTTCAATCGCCTCATATGCATGCAAAAGCTGGACAATGAATAAGGAAGACCGAACAAGAATTGATGTCTTTGAATTATTGCTTGGTAAAAAATATTGAATATACCAAGGACTGCCAAAAGAACAAACAAATCTGTCTGGAAGAAGTACAACCAGAACACTCCTTAGAATTAAGGATGGCGAGACTACGTCCCACATACTTTGGACATGTTATCAGGAGGGATCAGTCCCTGGAGAAGGACATCATGCTTGGTAAAGTAGAGGGTCAGCGAAAAAGAGGAAGACCCTCAAGGAGATGGATTGACACAGTGGCTGCAACAATGGGCTCAAGTATAACAATGATTGTGAGGACGGTGCAGGAATGAAAAGAGGTGGAAAGCATTTCCTCTGAGAATGGGAATAAGACAAGGATGCCCCTTATCACCACTCCTATTTAACATTGTGCTGGAAGTTCTAGCTAGAGCAATAAAGCAATAGATCAACATATAAAAATCAGTTGGATTCCTATACAGCAACAAAGAGAACTTTGAAAAGGAAATCAGGAAAATAATACCATTTATGATAGCCCCTAAAAAGATAAAATACTTAGGAATAAATCTAACCAGGGCTGTAAAAGACCTATACAAAGAAAACTACAAAACATTATTATAAGAAACCAAAAGAAGCAGACCTACATAAATGGAAAAACATAAACAGGAAGACTCAATATTGTAAAAATATAAATTCTCCCCAAAGTGGTCTACAGATATAATGTAATCCTGATCCAAATACCAAAGCATTCTTTAATGAGATGGAAAAAATAATCATCAACTTTATATGGAAAAGAATGAGGCCCCGCATAAGCAAAGCATTATAGATGAAAAAGAATGAAGTAGGAGGTCTCACACTACCTGGTCTCAGAATCTACTATACAGCCATAGTAGTCAAAAAAGCCTGTTACTGGTATTGGTATAATGACAGACACATAGACCAATGGAACAAAATCCAGAACCCAGATGTAAATTCATCCACCTATGATCAGCTGATCTTTGACAAAGGACCAAAGTCCATTAAGTGGGGGAAAAGACTCTTTTTAACAAATAGTGCTGTCAAAACTGTATGTCCATGTGTAAAAAATGAAACAGGACCCATACCTCACATCATACACAAAAACTAACTCAAAATAGATCAAAGAACTAAATATAAAACCTAAAACATTAAAGATCATGGAAGACAAAATCGGGACAATGCCAGGGGTCCTAATACATGGCATAAATGCAATGCAAACCATAACTAACAATGCAAACACCAGGAGATAAACTAGATAACTGGGAGCTGCTAAAAATTAAACACTTAGGTTTATCAAAAGACTTCACCAAAAGAGTAAAAAGAGAATCTCAGACTGGGAAAAAAATTTTGGTTATGACGTCTCTGATAAGGGTCTAATCTCTAAAATCTACAAAACGCTTCAACACCTCAACAACAAAAAGACAAATAACCCAATTAAAAAACGGAAAATGAATATGAACAGACACTTCACCAAAGAAGACATTCAGATGGCTAACAGATACACAAGGAAATGCTTGCAATCACTAGCCATTAGAGAAATGCAAATCAAAACCACAATAAGATACCATCTCACCCCAACATTAGTGGGACTAATCAAAACAACAGAAAATAACAAATGTTGGAGATGCTGCAGGGAGATTGGAACGCTTATGCATTGCTGGTACAACCATTTTGGAAAACCATATAGCGTATCCTTAAAAAGCTAGAAATAGAAATACCATACAGTCAAGCAATCCAACTCCTAGGAATATATCCTAGAGAAATAAGAGCCGTCACAGGAATAGACATATGCACATCCATGTTCATTGCAGCATTATTCACAATAGAAAAAAGATGAAAACAACCTAAGTGACCATCAGCGAATGAATGGAAAAACAAATCATGGTACATACACCCAATGGAACACTATGCCACGATAAAAAACAATGAGGAATCCATGAAACATCTCACAACATAGATAAATTTGGAGGTCATTATGCCAAGTGAAGTAAGTCCATCGCGAAAGGGCAAATATTGTGTAAGATCACTATTATAAAAACCCAAGAAAAGGCTTACACACAGAAAAAAAAAAAACTTTGATGGTTACGAGGGAGGGGAGGGATGGGAGGTGAAATCACTAACTAGATAGTAGACAAGTGTTAACTTTGGTAAAGGGAAAGGCAACACACAATATAGGGGAACTTTGATCAAGACAACGGCATAGAAGCTTCCTAGACACATCCAAATACCTTGAGGGACTGAATTACTGAGGCTGAGGGCTGGGACCATGGTCTTGGGGGACATCTAGGTCATTTGACATAACATAGTTCATAAAGAAAATGTTCTATATCCTAATTTGGTGAGTAGAGTCTGGGGTCCTAAAAGCTTCTAGTGGCCATCTAAATACATCTATCTGTCCCACCAAGTTCAAAGCAAAGGAGAATGAAGAAAAGCAAAGACACAAGGAAAAGATTAGTCCAAAGGACTAATGGACCACATGAACCACAGCCTCCACCAGCCTGAGCCCAGAAGAATTAGATGGTGCCCAGCAACCACTACTGACTGCTCTGACAGGGATCACAACAGAGGATCTAAGACAGAGCAGGAGAAAAATGTAGAACAAAACTCAAATTCACAAAAAAGACCAGGTCCGACAGAGACTGCAGGAACCCCCTAGACTATGGCCCCTGGACTCCGTGCTAACTCAGACCTGAAGCCACTCCCAAAGTTCACCTTTCAGCCAAAGATTAGACAGGCCTATAAAACAAACAATAACACACATGGAAAACACGCTTCTTAGTTCAATCAAGTACACAAGAGCAAATGTGCAACACCTGCTCAAGAGCAACGATGAGAAGGCAGGAAGGCATAGGAAAACTGAATGAACGGATAGGGAGAAACGGGGGTGGAAAGGGAAAGGTGGAGAGTTGCGGACACAATGTGGGGATTGCAACCAATGTCACAAAACAATTTGTGTATCAATTTTTGAATGAAAAGCTAATATGTGCTGTAAACTTTCACCTAAAACACAATAAAAATTTTTTAAAAATGATGAATTTGTGTTGTCACAAAATACCTCCTACAGTGAGGAGAGCTTGGCAAGCCTGAAGGAGCTGAATAATCCCGGACCCTAAACTGTTTCTGTGGTTGTTGTGTGCTCTCCAGTCGAATCTGACTTATAGGGACCCTATATGACAGAGTAGAACTTCCCCTCCTCCATAGGGTTTCCTAGGCTGTAATTTTTATGGGAGCTTATCGCCACGTCTTTTCTCCCGTGGAGCCACTGGTGGGTTCAAACTGCTAACCTTTCATTTAGCAGCCAAGTGCTTAACGATTGTGCCACCAGGGCTCCTCTAAACTGTATCTATCCGAAAAACCTGTTACTGTCCAGTCAATTCCGACTCAAAACGACCTTATAGGACAAGAGTAGAACTGCCCCATAGTTTCCAAGGCCGTAATCTTTATAGAAGCTGACTGCTCCATCTTTCTCCCATAGAGTGGCTGGTGGGCTCCAACCGTCAACTTTTCGGGTTAGCAGTCAAGTGCTTTAGCCACTGTCCCAGGAGGTCTCCAAACTATCTAGACGCTGAATTCCAGTGTAATAGCCTGAAGGTACCTCAGATTCCGTGTGGCCTTCAGGCCTCCGCCACTCCCCTTCATTTTTCAGAGGAAGTAACTGCTGCCCAAAAAGGTTGGGATCGTTGGAACTGGAACCAGACCTTTTGATTTTCAAACTTTTTGTCTGATTTGCTGAATGATTCTGCTCCTCCTCTTTCTCAGGCAGGAAAGCTGTATAGAAATGACATATTTTAGGCGCTGGGGTTTGGTTTTGCTCCCTTTTGGTCAAACTTAAATATCTTGTACGCAGAACGTGTGGAGGCAACAGATAATGAAGAGTGAACAGAACTCCTGCAAATGTGGCTGGAACAGACCCGTTCTGGGTTCAGAGACTTTGCTCAGAGACTTTGATCAGTCTTTAACTGATCAAATTTGCCCTGGTGGCCTAGTGGTTAAGAGCTACAGCTGTTAACAAAAAGGTTGGCAGTTCGAATCTACCAGCCGCTCCTTGGAAACCCTACGGGGCAGTTCTGCTCTGTCCTATAGGGTCGCTGTGAGTCGGAATCGACTCGACAGCAACAGGTTAGGTAAGGTAACCGCCTTCCCCTTGACTCCGCCCAGCCCCTCCGGGAGGAATAGGCGGATGGGCGGGAAAGTACAAATCCCAGCGTGCAGGTCGCTGTCCCGTCATCCCTGCAGCGCAGTCGCTTTCCTAACGCATTCTGGGAAATGCAGTTTCTTATCAGTGACTACATTGTCTAGGAAACCAGGGCTCTTAGCTTGAGAGAATCCTTCCCTCCACTGACCCCGCCCTCTCCATTGACTCCGCCCCAGGTTGCTTAGGAGATGTGGAGACGCGGAATCTCGGTCCGGGACGGCGCGGGAAGGAGGAGAGGTGCAGAGGGGAATCCTCTGAAGTCTATACCTCGAGGGCGGCCATGAGCAGCGCCTATGGGGACTGGTGCAGCAGTAACGAATACTGGTTTGAAATTGGACCCACCGACTTGCTGGAGCGCAAGGGCTCCCTGACCCTCCGCTCCCGTCACAAGAAATACTCGAAGCCGGTGTTGGTGTATTCTTGGTGAGCCAGCTCCCTGCAGTTCTCGGGTGCTGGGACTGGGGGAGGTGACAGGGAAGGAGTTGGGGGAGGGGAAAGGTTGGAAGGGGAAGGTGAGCAATGGACTGGGTGCAAGAGTGGAAAGGCGAGACGAAGCATAAGAAGGAAAGGAGAGAAAGAAGGAAAAATAGAAGGCGTAGGTGAGAAAGAAGAGAATGAGACGAGAGAGAGAACTAGGAAAGGAGAGAGAGAGAAGAAAGGGCAACAGACCTGGGAAAGACAGGAGAGGATGGGCATGAGAGATGGGGCAGCTAGGAGTAGACAGGTAATCTCTCCTGGAGCACACCTTGAGACCCGCTGCTGCCAACTCCCAGGCCACTTGAGGTCTTTGGTCATGCAGCTGGGGAAAGACTGGGGGGTGTTTACAGAGGCCTGGAAATCACATTTACAAGAGAAGTATTTATCATAAAAGGCAGGGCCCATTAGGTGACCAGGGGCCCAGCAGGAGGACTGGCCTCTAGGTGTGCCATTTCTTGATGGGTGTGGGGCAGCACACATAGTGATTTGTAGGAGGCACCTAAATATCCCCTAGGCTGCTAAGGACTCTTCTGGCTAGAGAGCACAAACCTGTGTCTCCACTGGGTAAAGCCAAAGACGAGCAGGCACAATGTTTCGACTCTTTAAGAATTTGTTGCCTATATCTAAAACCAGGAGATGTCACGTAAAAACTAGAGTTGTGTCTTCTCTTGAAATTTTGAAAGGCCTGGCAACTGGGGACCTCATTACTCCTGGCAGCTCTGAACTGGAGCTGAACACTGGCTGCTCTTTAAAATGGGACTAGCTCTATCTGTTGTAACTTCACTCATGTAGGTTCTTGCCTGGCCCCAGAAGGCATTTGATTTACTTCCTCGGCTTCAGGCCTTGGGGCTTAGAATTCACTTGGGGATTGTTTTGTTCTATTAAATATCACAGTGATCAAACTAAGGGGAGAAAAAGGGAGGGGGCTTTTAAGACAATTAGGAGTCTTTCCTTTGGGTCAAATTTCCTAGCAATACTGTTGACAATAAATACTTTAGGAGTATTTAGAATACCCCGGGGAAGAGAACAGAAAGGGAGAAATGAAAAGATGTAAACTTATCTCCTTTATAATTTTGCCTTTGGAAGAAGATGAATGATTTGGTCTCTAGCCCTAAGTCTAAGCCCTACTTGATCCCATTCATTCGTGTAGTGTATGTAAGCCCTGCCATTTCTATTGTAAACTTTCTGAATTGTTCCACAAGCCTTGTTGTTGTTAGCTACCATTGAGCTGGCTCTGAATCATGGTGACTCCATGTGTAATGGAATGAAACATTGCCCGGTCCTGCGCCGTCTTCATGATCGTTGGTATGTTCGAGTCCATTGTTGTGGCCATTATGTTGGTTCATCTCACTGAGGGCTTCCCTCGCCTTTGCTGGCCCTTCACTTTACCAAACATGATGTCTTTCTCTAGCAATCAGTCCCTTCTGATGACATGTCCAAAGTAAGGGAGCTGAAATCTCGGATACTGTCTTAGTTATCTAGTGCCGCTGTAACAGAAATACCACAAGTGGATGGCTTTAACAAAGAGAAGTTTGTTCTCTCACATAAAGTAGGCTGAAAGTCCAAATTCAGGGTGTTAGCTCCAGGGAAAGGCGTTTTCTCTCTGTTGGCCCTCTCATCAATCTTCCCCCAGACTAGGAGCTTCTCCACGTAGGGGCCCCGGGTCCAAAGTATATCCTCTGCTCCTGGCACTGCTTTCTCGTTGGTATGATGTCCCCCCCGTCTCTCTGCTGGCTTCTGTCTTTTATGTGTCGAGAGATTGCCTCAGGACAAAATCCAGTCTTGCAGATTGAGTCCTGCCTCACTAACACAAGTGCTGCCCATCTTCTCTCATTAACGTCATAGAGGCAGGATTTACAACATAAAGGAAAATCACCCAATACAAGGAATCATGGCCTAGCCAAATTGATACATACATTTTTCGGGGGACATAATTCAGTCCATGATAGATACCATTCTGTGATCCATAAAGTTTTCATTGGCTAATTTTCAGAAGTAGATCACTAGGCCTTTCTTTCTAGTCTGTCTTAGCCTGGAATCTCTGCTGAAACCTGTCCACCATGGGTGATTCTGCTGGTATGTGAAGTACCGGCAGCAGAGTTTCCAGCATCATAGTAACATGCAAGCCACCGCACTATGACAAAGTGACAGATGAGTGGTGGCCCACAAGCCTACTCCTATTTCTAATCTCTAAAACTGTCTCTGCCTATTTTGAACTCAATGTGGGAGGTTATATAGATTTGGAATCCAAAGTTAAGTTGAGAAACAGAAAATATTCTTTTAGCTTCATCCATGGCCCCCAAGCAAAACACTTAGCTCTTCCACAATTCTGTTATTCCGTAAGGATTTGAGTCATAATACAAACCACTAATAGAACTTACTGTTAGAGAGAAAGATCTTTCTCAAGGGGACAGTGCTTCTGCTTGCTGCACTACCATTGCTTTGAAAAGTTGCCTCGTGAACAATGTAGACATCAATAGCAAAACCGCAGTCATTCCAGCTAATGCTGGAAATGTAGAGGCTCTCTGAAATGTTGTTGGTTTTAGAAGGAAGGTTTGGGAGCAGGAGGAATTCAGCTCACTCCAACAAATATTTATGTATCATGCACTTTGGAAGGTGTTGGGGATACCTTCCAAATGGAAGAAATGGATAAATCGGATTCAGTGAGATACTTGTGTAAAGCATTATCACCATGCCTGACACATGGTAAGCATTCAATAAATGGTAGCTAATAGCCCTAGTGAGGAGACCTGGTGGCGCAGTGGTTAAAGCACTCGGTGGCTAATCAAAAGGTCAGCAGTTGGAATCTACCAGCTGCTCCGCGGGAGAAAGATGTGGCAGCCTGTTTCCATAAAGATTTACAGCCTTGGAAACCCTATGGAGCAGTTCTACTCTGTCTTGTAGGGTCTCTATGAGTCAGAACCAACTCGAGAGAGCCTAACAACAATAACAGCAGTTAAGAGCTTGGGCTCTTGGTTTGAATAACGGCTCTGCCACTATGTGATACAGCAAGTGATTTGACTGCTTTTTGCCTCTGTTTCTGCAACTGTGAAATGGGGATGATAGGAAGATTGTGAGATTAAACGAGGTACAGCATGTGAAACACCTTTAACACACAGCCTGGCATATGGTAAGCACAGTCAGTGTTACTTATATGTATTAGGACATGGTCATTGACCTCAAAGAAGTTCATAGGCCAGTAAAGGAGAAAGATGTGAACAAATGCGGTATAATATCATTTGTGCAAAATAGAGATAAGAGGTAGAGGTAACAGCAAGAGTAGGTAGTGTGTGTGAGTGTGTGCACGTGTGTATGCGTGTGTGTGCATGTGCGGTTTCCTGAGCAGGGCTTGAAAGGAAGAATAATAGGACCTCTGTAGGTGGACAAAAAAGTAGTGCCAAAGACTGTGTGTAATCATTAAGGTTGTGGGTCAACTTGGCTGGGCCATGATTCTCAGTGGTTTGGCAGTTATGATACAGTTTGGCAGTTGTATAATGATGTAATCACTTTCATAATGAGACCTGAGCTAATGTGATCACCTCCATGATGGGATCTGCTGTGAGTAGCCACTCAGTTGAAAGAGAGTTTCCTTGGGGTTGTGGCCTGCATCCAAACTAGGTGGACTTTCTGGCAAGGCTCTCAGAATTTTGATAGCTCTGGATCCTGCAGCTGGATCCTGTTCATTTGACCTCTGGTTCTTGGGACTTGACCTGGTAGCTTACCTGCTGATCCTGGGATACATCAGCCTGGCAGTCTGTGGGAGCCAGCGGCCTGCCAGCTTACCTGCCGATCTTGGCATTTGTAAGCCTCCGTAGTCTGTGAGCCAGAGGCCTGTGGTCTGACCTGCCGATCTTGGGTTCACCAGCCACTGCAGCTACACGAGTCAGGAGAAGGGACTTTCTACCTCTACAACCACATGAGCCATTTCCTTGATACAAATTGCTCTCTCTGTCTATATATACATATAGATGCTTCACTGGTTTTGTTTCTCTAGAGAACCCAGCCTAAGACACTGTGTCTTCCTTGCGTCTGGAGTGATGATAGACAACCACAACACCCACATCACACCTTGACGCTCTGTTGTTGCTGGGTGCTATCAAGTCAATTCCAACTTATAACGACCCCGTGTGACAGTAGAACTGCCCCATAGGGTTTTCTAGGTTGTAAAATCTTCACAGGAGCAGATCTCCAGGTCTTTCTCCTGCAGACCCACTGGGTGGGTTCGAACTGCTACCCTTTTGGTTAGCAGCCAAGCGATTAACCATTGTGCCACCAGGGCTCCTTATCTGATGCTTCTGAGAGATGCTTTTTCTAGAAATAATCTTTCCCTACTCTTCCCTATAGCATTTGTGGAACTGTATCATTAGATGTTTCCATCAGAAATTCTTGGAATATCTTCCCACTCATTGGAAAAATGGAATAGTAAGACCCAGAACAATTTAAACCTGCTTTTCTTTAATGAATTCTCTCTTGTAAGGCTAGTTCTTATATATATGTTATTTATTTATTTTTACTTATCTCTTTCCTTGGCCATGTCGACATCCATCCGGTAATGAATGATGATAATTTAAAGCAAAAGCAGTTCATTCGGATCTCCATGGAGACAATTCATGCTCTGGTCTCCATGGTGACACATACAGAGTTTAAGGACTCAGGTTAATTTTATGTATTTTTAATTTCAAATTCCTTTTCTTTCCTGTCTAAGCCCAGAATTAAAGAGCCTGGGCGTTTTATTCTCTTCTCCCCCCTACCCCACAACCCCATAATAGGAAGGAAGAAAACAGAAAGAGAAAGGAGAAGGAAGAGAAATAAAATGTAATAATTATGGGCTAGGGAACTTCATAGTTTGAAAGATTTTTACACAAAATCATTTGGAAAGGGCTAATACATTAGAATTAAAAGGGGAAACTAATCTTTCTGTGAAGCTCTTCAGATTTAAACCCTAT